TGGCATGCACATGACATGATCAGGAGAGGAGGACAATGAGAAAGAAAACCAGGATAAATATAACCATGTTGAACCCAATGTGTATCAGCGATGTTGTGATTCACCCTCCCGTCCCACGTCCCTTGCTCCAACGTCCCTACACGTTTTCATTTTCATTGCAAAAAGTGCCCCCCTTGAAAGGCCAGCGAGGCACGGGCCTGCAATTTTGGTGTGGGCCTCGTTTTGACAAAAGGAACTGCCCTGCACCCTTCCAGCGCGTAGTCAAGAATGCAGGGGACCATGATCATGCAGTTCAATGGGGAGTCCAGCGAGGTCCCTCTTTCGAGAAATGACCGCCCCCCATCCGTGCAACTGTTGCACAAATTACTTTTCTGGTCATGAACGTTGAGAAAGTCTCAAGCGAGGGCATGATTCTGAAAATCAGCCGCCCTCGATCGGTGCAGTGCTGCATGCGTTGAGGCTCCGAGTCTACAAGTCAAGGAAGACGCAAGCGAGAGCAGCATTTAAAGCGTGCGCCCCCCATCCTTCTGACGGTTGCAAGCCTTGAAACTCTGTGCGGCGCTAGGGCGGGAGTTCCACTATGCTAGCGGTATGTGTTCTATATTTTCTGTAGCGCTGCAAATTTTCAAGACGAATGTGCGCCGCGCTGAGGCGAGAACCCTAGTTTTTAAAGGGACCGGCCTCCACCCCTGAAGTTGTTGAAAACTTTTATAAGACGAATGCGCGCGACGCTAAGGCGCAAGTCCAATTTATTCGTAAGGGCTTCGCCCCCTGCCGCCGGCCCCCTCTCTATCATATTGGGATATATCAGAGTCGCGTCAATGCGTCTCGGCGCTGCCTTGGCGCATCCAGGGATATCATGAGGGGGCGGATAGGAAACATCAGAGCATGTTGCAACGTTGGCGGTATCGATGATGCCTACGACGAATCACCGCCGCCCCCTGCCTTTTAGAATCGCCCATGTGGCCGAGCGTTGTGACAAGAGCTCTGCCAAGCTATCGGACCATGTGTTCCCCCAGCCGTTGCGGAAACCCTTCGGGGAACACTTGGGGGAGGATGGCGGGGAAGATCAGGAGGAGGCGGAGGAGGAGGAGGAGGAGGAGGAGAAGGAGGAGGGGGTATCTTGGGAGCCTCTGGGGACACTCTTGGGGCCTCCTGGGAGCTTCCTGGGAGCCTCGTGGAGGCATCTTGGGGGCCTCCTCGGGCTCTTGGGGGCCTTTGGGGGTTTCTCGGGTGCCTCTTTGGCCGTCTTGGTGGGCTCCTGGCCCGTCTGACGCCGTCGGAGGCCGTCTTGGGGGCCTCTCTGAGCCGACTTGGGGCCCTCTTGGAATGCTCCAGGGCCGTCTTGGAGGCCATCTTGGGCGTCTTGGAGGCCTTTCGGGCCGTCTTGGAAGCCTCTTGGGCTGCCTCTTGGGCGATTTTGGGGTGATCTTCGGGAGCTCTTGGGCCGTCTCGGGTCATCGGTAGGCCGAAGAAGCAAATGCCAAAATCCTTCAAAACCTAAGGCAAACCAATGATTTTGGCTTATGCGGGCCTTCCTGGAAGCCCTCTTGGATGCCTCTGGGGCCGTCTCGGAGGCCTCTTGGGCACCTCTTGGGCATTCTTGCGCTGTTTTAGAGGCTTCTTGGGCGGACTTGGAGGCATCTTGGACCCTCTTGGGCCGTGACCATCTTAGGCGGACTTGGAGACCATCTTGGGCCATCTTGGCCGTCTTGGAGGCATCTTGGAGTCCATGTGGGGCCATCTTGGGCGTGAAAGGCATTGAGTTTCCGCGTGGCCGGCGGGACGAGCCGAAGCTCCAGGGGCGAATTCTTTTGGAAATCGAACCACAGCCAAGACCGAAAGTATCCCCTGTGACAAGCACAGGGGATGCTTTTGGGCACCCCTGTGACAAGCACAGGGGGCGGCGGATCCGAGTGGCTTTCGGCCCATCCCGCCACCGTGCCTGGGTTGTGGGTCTGAGGCCTCTTGTATATGTGTTGGGGTGTCGTGGGGAGCCTCTCGGGTGCCTTTTGTAGGCGGTTTGGGCGCCTCTTGGGGCCTCGTGGGGTATCTTTTGGGCCTTTGGGAGGCCTCTTGCGCGCGTCTTGGGCGCCTCTTGGGGCCTCTTGGTGTAGAAATATCGAACGTTCGGTTCGTGGTCCCCTGCCTGGGGCCCTCTTGGGGCCGTCTTGGGGCCCTCTGGGGCAGTCTTGGGCGCTTCTTGGGCCGTCTTGGAGCCATCTTGGGCCGTCTTGGGGCCCTTTTGGAGGCTTCTTGGGCTGTCTTGGGGCGGTCTTGGGAGCTTCTTCAGCCGTCTTGGAGCGTCGGAAAGCTGAGAATACGAGAAGGCCAAAATCCTTCAAGCACCTTAGTAACATCTACGATTTTGGCTTTTGGGGGCTCTCTCGTGAGGCCTGTTGGAGCGCTGTTGGGGCCTCTTTGGACCTTCTTGGCCGTCTTGGAACCATCTTCGGGCGCCTTGGAGCACTCTTGGCATTGACAATGCGAATACGACGCCATTTGCGATGGCTTATGGCTTCGGGGACGCGAGCGTTGCTTAATTTACGGGGTTCTGCTGCCTCGCGACACAACAAATGGGTAATTTACTAGGGTTCGTGGCCTCGGGGACGCGAACATCGTGTAATTCACAAAAAAAGATTATATTGCCTCGGGGGCGCGAATCTCACGTATTCTCACGTGCCCCACGCCCCCCCAGGAATTCACGCGGCGCGACCCGGGCGGGGTAACAGGATGGTTTGGGGCTCCCCCCCCCCTCGCGCGGATTTCAACAATTTACCGTAGGAAGCAGAAAGCAGGATTGTATCATTGGAGATTTGAAACTGCAGCTTGTGCAGGGAGCAGCACACTTCGTCCTCCTGGTGGCCACACAGGGGACTGTTATTCTATAGAAAACAAGCGAACGTGTGCGGCACTAGGGCGAAACGTCTATTTTGAAAACGATGTGTGCTGCGTTCCTGACAATGGTGCAGATTGGGGCAAACGACTGTGGGCGGCGCGAAGGCGAGAGCCACAGGTCAAAAAGGAGCCGCTTCCCATACTTGAAAGTGCTGCAAGCTGTCAAGATGGATGCGCGCGGATCTAAGACGCGAGCCACATATTTGCAAGTGTTCCCTTAAGACGAATGCGCGTGGGTCTAAGGCGAGAGCTCCATGTTTAAAACGACCCCGTCCTCGCCCATGATCATGAGCGGCCAGGAAGTCTCAGGCGAACCGCCCGTCCCGCCCTACCCGACGTGGAGTTCCCTAATACATGTTGTCTGTCAGGGTTCAATTTGGTTTGTCGGAAAGACTAGGTGCGCTGCCAGATCCAGAATCGGGCGGGCGATGTTGTTCCCCGTGGCCTCCCGTGGCTTCCCATTGTTTCCCGCTGCCTCCCGTTGGTATATAAATGTATATATATATATATATACGTGTATATGTATGTGTATCCCTTTACCTCTCTCATTATCCCTTTTCTCCTTGTCTCTAACCCTTTCATTATGATTACACTTGTAGATGCGTGCCTCTATCCCTTTATTCTTTTCACATATCCATGTCCCCAATCTGCGCCCTGTCCCCACATCCTCATCCCCATCTATTATTACATCTCTATTCCGACCCCATCCCTCTGTCGTGATTCCTATCCCTATCCATTGTACCCCATATGAAGATTTTAATTGTAGTGGCCTCTGGCCAGTGCCGCCGATCCGGGGCGCTCCGGGTGCCTGTGGACATGAACGACGACGAGGAAGACGAAAACGACGACGAAAACGAATACGTCGACGACGACGACGACGACGACGACGAGAGCGACGACGACAACGACGACGACGACGACGACGACGACGGCGATGACGACGACGACGCGAGCGACGACGACGACGACGACGACGACGACGACGACGACGATGACGACGACGACGACGACGACGACGACGACGACGACGACGACGACGACGACGACGACGACGACGAGGGGGGGGGGGGGAGGGGGTGCAGGAGGGGGGGTCTGCTCTGCAAGGGGGGGGTGCAGGGGGGGGGGGGGGTCCGCTCTGCAGGGGGGGGGGGGGGCTGCAGGGGGAGGGCTCTGCAGGGGGGGTCTGCTCTGCAGGGGGGGGTGCAGGGGAGGGGGGGGAGCTCTGCAGGGGGGGGGGTGCAGGGGGGGGGGGTCCGCTCTGCAGGGGGGGGGGGGGCTGGGCTGCAGGAGGAGGGGGGGGGGGCGCTCTGCAGGGGGGGGGGTCCGCTCTGGAGGGGGGGGTGCGAAGCACTGAAATAGGTCGGAAATGAGGTCCCCCCCCCCCCTCGGCAGAGCGAAGCTTGAGCGAGCTCAAGCCCACGCTCTGAGAAACTCACACGCCGGATCGGCGGATTTTATACCCTCAATATCATTTATCCCTATCTTATATCCCGATCTTTTTCCCTATCCCTATATCCATGTCTCCTCACACCTCTTACCATCCCTACCCGATCCCGATCCCCCCGGCGTGACCCCCCCTCCTGGCCCCCATCGTAACTGTGTAAAGCTGTTCAGGGTCTGCTGCCGCCGGGCTGTCATTCTTTATCCACTGATTTGGGGCCTGTGGGCCACGCCCCAGTCCCCCCCAGGACGGTTCCAGAACCCCCGACGAAAGGTCCAGGACGGGCGGGACCACGCGAGGAAATTTCGGAAGCATGGGTCCGCGGGGGTGCCTGCGTGGCCCTGGGAAAAGTAGCAGTGCGAGTTTTAGAGGCGCACGAGAGAGCCCATGAACCCGTACGGAAGCTGGGGCTTGAGGACAGTAGAATATGTACAATACCCAACAGTAGGATTCAGTTTCTTTGTTGAGGGTTCACAGGGCCTGAACACTCGACTCGGTGCCTGCGGCACGGTTGCGAATCTATACGATCAGTTAGGCACAAACGTATCACCCCTGTGGAATAGCAAGTACGTTGTTGAAGAGAGCGCAACAAGTCTGACGGGCTGGCATGGACGCAAACGCGAAAGTGTTTGCAATAGTTGGCAAAACACGGAACGACGCGCGGGGCGTGGCGGCGGCACAGTTGCGCATATCTTGCTGAGGCGAGGCTTTGTGTAGATCAGGTCAGCAGCTGCTCGTCATCTTTCATAGGCCGTTCTGGCTCAGAACGGGGCGCGGCGGCGACAAGCCTGGGCTGGCGCAGTGTCGCGGGGAGTGCTCGGGCTCGCGGCGCTGCCGCGCGCGCGGACCTCCGCGGGAGGCGGGTAGCATGTTTTGCACGTCCTCGCGGGAGAAGGGCACCCTCCCCCCGACCGCGTGTCCACGTGAGCTCCGGTGCACAGCCCGCGGCGTGGACTGGCTGACCTTGGAGTTCGAGCTTGTCTTGCCCGACGATCCGGGCTTCAACAGGGAGTGCGTGGAGTGCCACGTTGAGCGTCTCGATTCTGGACTGTTTGAGAGGTGGGCGGCTGTGCGCGACGCTGTGTTCGAGGAGAGGGTCAGTCGAGCTGCCCAGTCCGCCGATGGCTCCCAGGGGTCTCCTCCAGCTGGCCCCGTCAACTGCGCCTTCGTATTGCCGAACTTGGCGCACGAGAGCGGGTTCACCTTTCGGATTCTCGCCCGCGGTGGCCCTAGCCAGGAGTTGGCGCTGTCCAACTCCGTCGCCTGCCGCACCGCGGACCGGCCCGAGGTCGGCTGCGATTCCATGCTGCGGCAGGTAGCAAGAAGGGCGCACGCGGTGTCTCTGGAGTGGGTGCTGCTGGATCCAGAAGGTGCCCCCGTCGAGGAGTGCGAGCTGCAGTACCGCTGCGACGGCTTTGTCTCGGGGTGGCGCTCCGCCTGCGGGCGCCTGTCGCCAGCCGCGGACACTGGGCGGCCGTACGGTCTGGCCGAGGGAGCACGGCGGTGGCAGGGCACCATCGGCGGGCTGGAGGGAGCGAGCGTCTACATCGTGCGGGCCCGAGCCCGCAACGCTGTGGGGTGGTCGTCTGGGTTCTCCTCGGAGCTGCCCTGCCGGACGGCCGACTTGCCGCCCGCGCCCAGGGAGCTGAGGTGCGTGTCGCGCAGCCCGCACTCGCTCGTGGTGTGCTTTGCGCTGGAGGACCCCGAGGGCGCACCTGTGGTGGAGTGCTCCGCCGATGTTTACGGCACGCTCGGTTTTCATAGTTTCACTTTCTGCAGATTCGAGGGCGTTGGCCTGGGCGAGGCGGGGGAACGCTCTCAAGAGACAGGTCGGCCAAGGATGGCGTCGTGTACACTAGAAGGTCTGCAGCCAGAGACTCTTTACTCCTTCCGCATTTGGGCCAGAAACGATTCTGGTCTGTCCAGGCAGCCCTCGAGCTCTCTGGAGTGTCGAACGTCGGACAGGCCTGCCGCTCCGTGCAAGCTGTACGTCAAGGCGACTGGGCCGACGGCGTTTTTCCTTGAGTTCGACGTTCACGACCCGGAGGGCGCCCCCGTCGACTGTTGTGCCGTGGAGTATAGTCAAGACTCTCTTTTATCATCCTGGACCAGCGTGGAGGCCGTGTGCGATCTCAGCGTGGCCCCAGAAGCGCCTTGCAGCGCCCCAGCCTCTGGTTCAACCCTGGCAGGGCCTTGCGACCCTGTGTCCGCCGTGAGTGTCCGGAGGTATCGCGTCGCCCTGGAGAAGCTGGAGCGGGAGACGCCGTACGTGTTCCGTGCGAGGGCCCACAGCTGCATCGGCTGGTCGCACGGCTACTCGCCAACATCCTTTGCGCGGACGACGGACTTGCCTCCTACGCCGCAGGGTGTCCGCTGCGTTGCGAGACTGCCAGGGGGGATGAGGCTGGAGTTCACCACTGCCGAAATTCCTGACACCGCCCCCATCTCAACCGTACACATCGAGGACGGTACGCTTTCTTGGCAAGAGGTACCGATCCTCGCCCTGCAGAAGTCTTTGGCGACCAGTGCCGAGCCTGGCGTGACAGTGTGGTCGGTAGAGGTCCGCCTTGGCATTGGCCCAGCGGTGAGGCACACTCTCCGAGTGTGGACGCAGAGCAGCGGCGGCCGTTGCCGAGAGCCCTCGGCCACGTGCATTTGCCACACCTCAGACGAGCCCAGCGCGCCCACGCAGGTCACTGCTGCCACCCGCTCGGCGCACTCCCTGGAGCTGGAGTGGTTCCTCCCCGACCCCGAAGGCGCTCCGGTGTGGCAGTGCGAGGTGCAGTACAGCGAGGACTCCGCCCTCGCCTCGTGGGAAACGGCCGCCTGCGCGGACACGCAGCGCTCGGACGGCAAGGAAAACTACTGGAGGTGCACGGTGGACAAGCTGAAGCCTTGTACCCCCTACCTGCTGCGCGTCCGTGCCCGGAACGAGGTGGGCTGGTCCAGCTGGGACGTGGGTGCGCGCGCCCCCATTCCGACTTCTGGACCTCCCAAGGCCCCATCAGCCTTGGCAGCCTGGGCCGCGCCGATGAAGCAGCGCCTTGGAGCCCCTGCCGCAGCAGGCAACTGCCTAGCCGTGACCATTGCCCTAGAAGAGCCCGACGACGCGCCTCCAGTCGCTTGCGTGGCGACGTGGCGGCGTTGGGACAGGCGCGTGTCTTGCCAGCGCGTAGCCCCAGGGCAGTGGCTGGCGACTTTCCCGCAGCACGCCGAGGGCCAGAGCGCGGAGCAGGGCACGGCCGCGCCTCTGACCTTTGGGATTGCGGCCGCGAACGCAGTCGGGTGGGGCGAACTCGCGGAGCTGTGGGCTGTAGAGGCGGAGCCGCCGGCGGAGCTGGCGGCAGGGCCCGGCTGCTACGCCCATTGTTACAGGGCTGGGCCCCTGCGCACGGAGCTGCACCGTGCTCTCCGCGAGCGAAAAGCAGCTTGCGGCCGGGTGGCCGCCTCACTGCAGGAGGCGCAGGCGCGTGGCGATGGCGAGTACGCCTCGTGGCTGTCTGCCCAGACGGACGAGCTGCAGCGGCGGGTGGCGGCGCTGGAGGAGGTCGCGCGACAGGTGGCAGAGGCCGAGGCGCAGCCACCTTCCTCAGGTGGCGAAGGCGGTGTCGGTGCGCACTTGGTCGCTCGCTTCCAGGCGGCCGTGCGTCAGCGCAAGCTCGTCCCAGACACCTCCGCAGCTGCCGAGGTACTCTACCTGTTGCTGCGGGGCTGTATGTGGCTGGAGGCCTCGTGGCAGGCCGAATTGGGCCCATTTTCGGACGGTGTGGCGGAGCTGATGTCGTCTGTGCCCGATTCTGGCGGCAGGATGCTGCAGCACTGGATCAGGCAGCATCATGTCTGGTCTGAAGGCTTCGATCGCAAGGTCAGCATGGTGCTGCCCGACAGCCTCGCCTCCTGCGCGCGGATCCTGGCCGCGCTGTCTGGCGGCGGCAACCTGCAACCGCTGGAGTCCGTCCGCGGTGTCATGGAGGCGCATCTGGAGCTCATGTCCGCCGCCGAGCGGCAGCTGAGGCGTCTGCGGCAAACGCGTCGGGTACTGCAGCTGGCGCAGGGTGCGAACTCGCACAACTTCGAACCCCCGACCATCGGGGAGAAGATCGAGACCACGGCGCTCTCGCTGCTGACCACCACGGTGCTGGCCGTGGCCGTTCCAGGCGCAACGGAGTGCGGCGTGGCGCGCATCGGCATGCTGTGGCTGGAGGGCAAGGGCGCAGGCGACCACGTGGCGCTGGAACACCCTGTGGGCGCACCCATCCAGCCGCTGCTGGAGCGGCTGGGGTGGACGTTGCCGTCCACGGCCGGCGTCATCCTCACGGGCTGGGCTGGCGGGGGGCACGCAGGCGTTGTCCTCGTGCACAACCTGGCGGCGCGCAGGATCACGGTCGTCGTGCGCCCAGACGTGGACACGCTGGCGTCGAGGATAGGCAAGAAGCTGTCGAACGCGCACCCCATGGTGTCCGCGATCTCCCAGAGCCTCTCGGACCCCGACGCAGACGCGCCCGGGGTGACCATCCTGCCGACAGACGTGGCCCTCATCCAGGTGCCCGTCGCTGCAGGAGCGGCCGCGGGCGGGGCCACATGCGGACGAGAGGCGGTGCGCCTCGTCTTCTGCTACGGTGCCGCTGGGTCGCCCGACAGGGAGATGGGCTGGGCGCGGGTGAGGTCTGGGCAGCCCAAGCCGCATGGGACAGACAGGTCCCCCCACCCCAGGGGTTGGGGGGCTCTATCTGTGTGGGCGACCTGGCTTCCGACTCGATCCGGTTCGGCTCTGCCGATTTTTTCCGATTCGATGGCGCAGCCGCGTTTCAGCCTACACCTGCCGATTCGAAGTCCGCATCGATCCGGCTCAATTTTTTTATCGACCCGACGCCAGGGCGTCTGGGGAGGGACGGGAGAGGGAGGAATATGAGGAGGAGGAGGAGGAGGAGGAGGAGGAGGAGGAGGAGGAGGAGGAGGAGAGGGAGGAGGAGGAACGGGGCATGTGGCTCCCGAGGAGCTGCTCCCAGACGGGCCCTGATGGGCCCCTCCGCCTTTTGCGGAGCCCGCCCGACGCCCCTCTCGTGTCTGGGCCCTCACGTCTCGTGCATGTTTGATGGGGTAGCTCCCGAACCGCTTGAGCTAGCTCGCGGAGAATGCCGATGTTCGCCACCCCTTCGGCCTCAGCCGCCCCAACGAGGCCCGGGTCGGCGCTGAGCTTCGTGTCCCTTGACGGTGGCCTGCACGTCTGCAACCGGGAGGCTCGGGGGCTGCCAGAGGTGGCACTGGCCCAATGTGTGGCCCCAGCTGTTCCAGGCAGGCCCAGGTAGCCTCCAGAGCATTCTTCACGGGCCCCAGGGTCAGCATCGTCTGACTTATCCCCGCCCCCCGTGGGACAGGGGTTCCTTAGCGCCATCAGCCTACCCCCTCGTGGTGGAGATAGATGCCGCGAAGCCCGACCCAGGCATCTACTCCCGGAAGGTCGCGCAAAGGGACCACGGTTTGCCCAGTGGGGATGGGGATCCAGTCAGTATGCTGAGGAGGGGCTCTGGTTTTCGGGCCGTTCCTTCTATCTAGGTCGGGTAACTTCTTCGTGACCGAGGCTCGCCGTGGCAAGACAAAACCCTTCGTTCCTTATTCAGCGTTCCTCAGGGTAGTACGATGACTGCAGGTCTCGCGATGCTGACCGATGGCCCGAGGAGGCTCTAAAAAGGCGCGAAGAGCTGGGGGCACCCCTGCGGCCAGGACGCCACTTTTGCAGCCAGGAGACAGAGCAAGCTAGGTGCGCTCGCGACATATCTGACATTCTACCCCTCCCTCCCATTCCTTCCATTTGGCCGAGTTATTCTAGACGCTTCGTGTAACCCCGCCAGCCCATCCAGAAGCGATGCCCAGACGACTGATCAGGTGGAAGAGAATGCAGTGGAATAAAGGGCTGGATAAGACGTCGTACTCTAAGAGGGGGAGGATGTAGGAGGAATCGGAGGAGGAGCAGGCGGATGGAATTGAGGAGGAAGAGGAGGAGGAGGAGGGGGGAGGAGGGGAGGGGGAGGGGGAGGCGGAGGAGAAAGGAAGACGAAGGAGGAGGAACAGGCGATGATGATGATGATGATGATGATGATGATGATGATGATGATGATGATGATGATGATGATGATGATGATGATGATGATGATGATGATGATGATGATGATGATGATGATGATGATGATGATGATGATGATGATGATGATGATGATGATGATGATGATGATGATGATGATGATGATGATGATGATGCTGATGATGATGATGCTGATGATGATGATGATGATGATGATGCTGATGCTGATGCTGATGCTGATGCTGATGCTGATGCTGATGATGATGATGATGATGATGATGATGATGATGATGATGATGCTGTTGATGATGATGATGATGAGGAGGAGGAGGAGGAGGAGGAGGGCGAGCAGAAAGGCCACATGCCTCTTGGATGCCTCTTGGAGTCTCTTCAGATTTCTTGCGAGCGTTTCTTGGAAGCCCTTGGGGCGTCTTGGGGGTCTCTTGGCAGTCCTCGGGGCCGCTTAAGGCGTCTTGGGTGCATCTAGGGTCTCTTGGGAGCCCCTTGGGGGCATCTCGGGGGCATCGTGGGAGTCTCTTGGGGCCCCCCTGGGCACCTTTTAGGGCCGTCTTGGGGCTCCCTTGGGAGCCTCGGGGGCCATCCTGTGGCCACTTGGGAAACGATCGATCAACGGACAGGAGGTTTTACTTAGATCCCCCCCAGGAGGCCAACATGTGGACTAAACGTTAGTAACATGCCGAGACCTCTTGGGGCGTCTTGGGTGCCCCTGGGGGTCTCCTTGGTGTCTCTTGGCAGCCTCGTGGGGGGCATCTTAGGGGGCTTCTTGGGGGGCTCTTGGGGCCTCCTGGACACCTCCTAGGGCCGTTTTGGGGCACCCTTGGGAGCCTCGGGGGCCATCTTGGGTCCATTTTTGGAAGAGATCGATCAAAGGAGGGGGGGTCCTTACTTGCCCCCCCCCAGGAGACCAACATGTGGCCAAAACGTTAGAATAATCAATGACGTTGGCCTTCTCGCCGAAGCCTCTTGGGGCGTCTTGGGTGTCTCTGGGAGGCCTCTTGGGGCGTGTTGGGGGTCTCTTGGCAGCCTGTTGGGGACCGCTTGGGGGCCTCTTGGGAGCCTCTTGGGGCCTCCTGTGTGGTGTGGTGTGATATCGCTGATATGCTTGATCTAACTGAATATAGCTGAGTGGTCAAAGCGCCTGGGCAACAATGCTTAAAGACGAAGGGGGGAGGGGCCAGCAGCAGCAGCAGCAGCATACAGAGCGTTGCACACACACAGAGATTAAATTGCTTGCGCACGCTCCTCCGAATGTACGCTGCACGTTCGTATGATTCAGTCCAACAGCGCAGCAATTCTGACCCAGGAGGGAAACACACGCGCACACACACATCGCAGATGTAGTAGGTTTCGAAGCATGCCAGACTCCGACATACTAGAAGCACATGGCAGTGAAAGTGTTCGAACATACACTGGTACCTTGCGACGCGTTGACCTCGTAAGAGGGAGGTAGGATGAGGATGGAGCGGAATGCTTTCACCTGGCTGCAGATGGCGGGCAGCGCTAAACTAGCCCAATGAGCCCAACGGGGCTCCTAGCAGAGGCTCTGTGGCCTCGGACGGATGGAGCCAGATGAACCCGGACACGGAATTTGGCCAGGAAGGCCTCACAAAAAAAGATGACCGTGGGCGGTCGGTTACGGATAGAGGCGTGGATGACCTCACACATGGAGTGAGGTTTTTTGCCACTCAGTTAGGCGGCTTTTGGCCCCAGAACACGATGGCCTCTCCAGCCTGTCACATGGAGCGTCCGGGCAAGGGCACCACACCATGCACTTCTTCAAGGACTCGTAGTCTGTGTACTCACTGGGGTCGGTAGTACGTCCTGGTTTAGGTCACCTCGCCCTGGTAGTGGTTCACGGGTTTGTGGCGAAGCCCTCACACGTAGGTGATCTGACTCATCGTCATCACGTCGCGGACGGCGATCTGCTTGGGCTCGGGGTCCGTCTTGGCAGCAGGCTCGGTGTCGGGCTCGGTCCTCGAGGCTGTCTGGGCAGGATTCTCCATCAGTGGCAGCTGCCTGGAATCCAGGAGGGGCACGGTAGCTGTCGGCCCGTTGAGGTACCGCACGATGGTCATCACGATCCAGACCACCAATGCAAGCGTGAAGCCTCACGCGAAACCCTTCAGGTAGGTGAGCCGCTCCACTGCGTAGGATTCCTTGGCACAGGTGCTGGTCACGTCGAGCGGGTACCTCGGCTCCTCCGGATTCTGCAGTGGCCACGCCTTGCTACAAATGGCCAGCGAGGCGAAGGTCAGCATTTGGATGGGGTTCTTGCCCCTGGGCTTCACGAGCTTCACGTCGCGCCCGGACATGAATGCTATAAGCATGGCTGTGCCCATTCCCTTGGTCAACGTATCTGCCACCATGGTATAGATAGGTACCCAACGTAGCACTGATGCCGCAGGTGCGAACGTCTGCCTGAGCATGCTCGCGACGATCCTGAGCCTCCTGTCTTGGACAACTCCGGCGTCCTTCTCGACGGTCTCCTCTAGGTGCTTGCTGTCCTCCGTGCAGGTTGTCATCTTGATGGTCTCCGAGTTGGGTGGTGTACCAATTTTGGCCGCCAAGATGAGCTCCATGAGGACCTGCCGGTACCAGTCGGCGTACCTGGATGCCTCGCTGATCGCGTAGGTTTTGGCGCTGGGGGTGTTGCGCACGACCCGCTTGACTCATCCTGAGCACCACGTGAGCGGAATCACTCGGCGTTCGCGAAGCCCGAGTCTCCGCAGAATGCAAATTAGGCTCGAAGTACCTGTCCGCGGCTCCGTGCCACGCGAACTCCAAGCGTATGACTCTGCTTGAGCTCGAGAGCCAACTTGTTGAGTTCTATCATGTCTTGGATCTTTAGCTTTCTGATCCTCCGCTCCGCCATGTTCTGCATGCGTGCTGAATCGGGCCTCGAACAAGTGGCGAGGCCTAGAACGTGAGTGGAACAGCTGGTTGTTCTCAGCCAGTTGTCGGGTGACCTACCCGCTGGTGGGCGCGGCGCGCGCCTCACAGGGGAAGCGCGTTTGATTGCGAATGCACCGGCTCCTGCTGAGGCCCAGAATGCAAGTGGTACAATATGTGCGTCCTCGGTCAGTTTTCGGGCGACCCACCCGCTGGGAGGTAAACTGCGCGGCGCGCGCTACACGGGGGAAGCGCTTGGAGCACGAATGCACCAACTTACTCGGACAGGCACAGAACTACACTTTGGGCGAGTGGATTGGCTTCTTGTGCGGATTCCAAAATTCCGAACTTACTTTTGCGACATCGTCTTACGTATCGGTTCGCCCGCCAATCGAGGGGGCCGATCGCGACTGTCGGATTTGCCGGGGCCTCGACTTCGCTTGCCAGTGTCAGTGTGGAATCAACACTTACGCCTCACGAGTGGACTGGAGGATGAGCGCACGCTGAGTCTTTCAGCTGCGGGGGGGCGCGGGCGTTTGCCGCCGCGCAGGGGCCAGGAGCACTTGTGAAACGCTCAGGGAAATGGAGGGCGGCAGGAAGAGGAAGAACGGGGGAAGGGGGAGGGCAAAGCAGCGGGCGGGAATGGGGAACATAGTGACCAGGCGAGATGCTCTGATAGGGGGAGCGATGTGGGCGGAGGCCGCAGTTGGAATTCCTTCGGAAAGCCTTGGGACGTTCAGATTCCGCCCGGAGGCTGGCAGGGGGTTCAGCGGCCCTTGCCTTCCTGACTCTGCGGGCGGGGCGCGACGACGCACCCGACCTGTACCCCGTCCCTTTCGCTAGGTGCCGGTCTGCGCGTGCTCGCCCCGCGCGAGACATCCAGCATCCAGCGCGTGCAGAATTACATGTAGCCAGGCACTGGGTGCAGTTCTGCACGTGCTGGCTTCGCCGGAGACATCCTCGCAAAACGGAGCACTTATAGAACTACACCTAGCCAGCGGGGCGGGGTGCATGTCGGGCGCCGCCACTCGCGCTCCCAACGTGCACCGCGCCCCGGCCGCTAAGTGCCATTTTGTGCGTGTCCCTTTTTCGCAAAGCATCGGCTGCCCGCGCCGCCCATCGCGGAGGCCCCGCCCCCTGGGCCGCTTCCCACCGACATCCCACATCCCCTGGCTCAGCGAAGCCAGCCGCGTGCCTAGGGGCCTCGACCTCGCGCGGCCCGCCTCCCTCCCCCGCCTATGCCCCAGC